GAGGTGATCAGGCAGGCAGAGGGGTTGGGGCGATCAGGCAGGCAGGGGAGCAGTTAGGGGCGAGCAGACAGTTAGGCAGGGGAGCAGTTAGGGGCGAGCAGACAGGCAGGCAGAGGGATTAGGGGCAATCAGGCAGGCAGGCAGAGTGGTTAGGGGCAATCAGGCAGGCAGGCAGAGTGGTTAGGAGCAATCAGGCAGGCAGGCAGGCAGGCGAATGGTTAGGAGCCAGCGGTCCCAGATTGGAGATGGTGAAGGCTGGGCTAAGGGACCCCCCACCCCACCACCACCCCCTGCACGAATTTCGTGCACCAGGCCTCTAGTACTAAATAAGCAGCAATCAAGAAAACAATTCATATGTACAAGCACTTACTAAGACATAAAAATAAGTAGGTACAACAGAACATGGAAAGAACTACAGATTTTGAGCAAGGCAGGAATCACCTAGTCTATGGCCATCATTCTTAAAATGAAGAACAAGGCCAGAGATCACATAGGACTCTCAAGTCACACGCAAGGATGGGCTAGAACCCATGATTTCTAATTCTAAAGCCTCACCTTGCCACTCTGAATCATGGAGTGTAGTACCTACTGATAGCATCTACAGATAGAAATTAATACAATTTCATCAATCAATAAACCCATTCGTAAGACTACCAATAATTTGTCCTAAAAGCCTGCTAGTTTGTTGCTCCTAAGATCTCTGAAGAAAGAAGCTGCACTCTTACTGGTCAGGAGCACCAACTGTGGAGCCACCGTGCTTAGGTTCAATTGCTGGACTGGTATTTACTGATTACGTCACCTTTTACAGTTATTTGACCTTTGTATGCCTCAGCTTACTACTAATCTATATACTGGGAATAATACCAGCACCTACCTCATAAGATTGCTGTAGGGAATAATTAACATCTGTACAATAACTAGGATAGTGCCTGTCACATAGTGATTGCACAAATATTAAACTTTCTCACTACATAGATGATGTAGGCTTAGCAGAGCAGTGTTCATTACTAAGTCCTTGGACCACTTCTGTATGCTAAGGTACAGTAGATATGGCAGACATAGAAATGTCAATACTGCCTTTAAATACTTCAAGACAAAATTCCTGTAATCATAAAACCAGATTCAATTTTTATTTCTAACTTCTGGAATATCGAGAAATTAGTTTCCTCGGTCTGCCTTTCTCTGAAGTGGGTACAACGAAGCTTGTCATCAGTAAAGCTAGCATGTGAAATCCCTGGGGGCAGCTGAGAATACAGGTATTTCACAGATCTGTACAGAGAATGTAAAACTTACTGTTCAGAGTCATAGTAATCCATATGCTTCTTTTTTTTGTTGTAAGCTGCAACACGAAAGGGAACTATTTCCAGAGTGATTAGGCCAGGGGCCATTGTCAGCACTTTGGCGCCGTGAGTTGGCTCGTACAGGTCCTTCCCCGTTTCTGGATGAGGCATGCCAGCGGGATCTCGTCCAACAATGTAGAAATTGGCTCCTGCCACCATCCTCGCTCTGCAGTGCCACTGGACCTGGAATAACAGTTTTCCTATTAGATCATCATGCCTTTATGACGAGTCCTTAGAAATAGTAAGTGAATAATAAATAAATATACTTCTCATATGATCCAAATTTAAATGTATAACCTCGGGAAGCCAGAAACAGAACTGGCAACCCCTCACCCTCAAAAAAAAAATCTAAAAGTATAAATGTATACAAGTGTTTATGCATACATGTTTATATTATTTTATTTAAAGGAAATATGTGAGTATAAGTGTCTACATGTATGATTTTACACAACTGCTAGATATTATTTATGTATAGTTCAAAATCTAATCCAGGAGGTCAGAAGTCAGGTAGAGATGGATCCTTTCATGGAGGCAACTGGAAGGGGCTTCTGGGATAACTGTAATGTTCTGCTGTTTTCTTGTCATTTTCTTGAGAGATAAACCGACAAATTAAATTGTATATATTTGAAGTATGCAACACGATGACTTGATATATGTATATGCCAGTGATGGCGAACCTTTTGAACTCGGCGTGTTGGCATTTTGAAAAACCCTAACTTAACTCTGGTGCCGTGTCACATATAGAAATTTTTTGATATTTGCAACCATAGTAAAACAAAGACTTATATTTTTGATATTTATTTTATATATTTAAATGCCATTTAACAAAGAAAAATCAACCAAAAAAATGAGCTCGCGTTATGAAATATTTACCACAATCAAATTAACACAGTCATTACCTCACAGTTATCTGTGTGTAGTGAGAACACTTAAGATCTGAGCAAATTTCAAGTATACACACAGTGTTATTAACGATAGTCACCCTGCTGTATAGCAGATCCTCAGAATTTATTCTTTTTATAACTTAAAGTTCGTACCCTTTGACCAATTTTGGAAATAATAGAAATTAACACAATTTCATCAGTCACAGGGAGATAAATTCATTCTACAAAGAATTTTATCATCAATTAATCACTTCGCAACTTTAGTCCACGTTGATGTCAGTTCTAAGAGTTCTAAGAGTGCCTGATAATGCTCTGTTTCTGGATCTGAGCCGAGGGCTGGCAACCAGGCTGTGCTCACTGTAGAAGTTCATTAAGCTGTTTGTACACTGTGACTTCGGTACTTTTTCTGTTATACTGTCATTGGTTAAAAAAAACTACTCGATGAAAATGATTAAACTAATTTTACTACTTATATAAACTGGTACTGAGAAAACATGTAGCTAAGTGACTATGACCAAAGATACCAGGCAAGAATTAAGGCATTTGGCCGCATGCAAAACTAGCTTTGAAGCCCATACTTTCACATTAAGACATAGTTTAAAAACAAAAATCAGTCTAACAGCTAGAAGTTAAAGTAGTAACTGTAAGAGATCATCATTCTCATTAAAATTTGAGGTAAATCCAAAGTTTGACTTGGCCAATTAAGTATGGCGCAAACCCAGGTCTAGAAATCTGTTTTTAGCTCCCTTTCTTTTCATGTAAGGCTCCATTATTTAGTGATTTTTGCAAAAGCATCTCTGTTCTGCATGAAAATAAGGTAACATAATGAACACTACACATCGTTTTCATTTTCTCTCTCTTGACGGTTTCTCTTATAACAGGTACTTGAATATTTATCAACATGCCTAGAAAGCACAATAGCACGAGGGCAATCACCCCACCCCCGAACTGCTCACCCTCCAGAGTTTGCTTTTTCAATTGTTACTACTGATATCTACTCTTTATTTCCAAATGACGTTCATAAACTGCATGTCTTGACTGTTTAGTTTCAGATACTATAAAATGTAGACATTATTTCCACATTATTTTTCCTACTATAAAAGATGATGCTTGGCTTTTATTCCACTCTCATTCCCTATCCCATTTATCCAATAAATACAGTGATACATTTTTGGCGAAATCAACATTCACCTGTAAAAATAGATGTTTTAAGTAAACTAATATATGAAACATGTGAGCAGTTAGAACAAACAGTACCTAGTACAGAGTAAGTACACAACAAATGTTAGCTGTTATTATGATCTTTATTTTATTCCCCTCCTTGTACAACTGTTTGTTTTTCCTAGAGTTAATAACTGTCTTGATTTTTTCCACTCGCTTAATTTTCCATATACCTCTGTGTCTGTATACCGGACTACCCTTCTTCCTAAGAACACAGTGAAATACAATTCTCAGCCTCCCTTGCAGTGTGACCATGTGGCCGAGTTCTGGCCAAAGGAATGAGAGCCCAAGTGATGTGTGCCACTTCCAACTGAGGAACACTAACAAGCCTCCTGAGTGCTATCTTAGTCCTTCTCTCCCCATTTGACAGCTGAACAGAGAGGACCCCAAGGTCCTGTAACTACACCTTTTCTGCTATAGCATTAATTCCAAGTGCATTGAGCCACAATAAAATAAAAGAAAAAAGAAAAAGAAAAGAAAATTCTGCTCACTCCCCTCTGCCCCTTCACCGTAGTCACACAAAAGACCTTTGCTAATTCAGACTCAGAATTTTTATCGAGGTCAGAATTTTATCATCAATTAACCACTTTGCAACTCTACTTAAATGAAAAATCTTTTCTGCTGCATGCAAATGAATGGCTGCTTGCACAGCATTAAACTAAAAGGGCAGTCTAAGTTCTCTGAATTTAGGTAAACTTACTTTGCTCATTAAGTATGTATGTCTAGGCATTTAAATCATTCAAGTACCAAAAGGTCCACAAACTGCAAATGTATGGCTTAATTTTAATATTTAAGGAAGCTCAGATTATTTAATCCAACCACCTCCATCCTCTTAAAACAAGAGGAAACTGAAGCCCAGAAAACTTAGCACCTTATTGGGTCACAGAGCACGTGGTCGGTGGCAGTGGCCAGTTCTAATTTTGTCTTGTAAAATTACCAATTAAATTGCTCTTGGACTTCTAGAGGTTACATGAGTAAATTAAAGGTAAATACACCAAACAAGGAGTCAACATTCTCCTGCAGGTGACCTGAATTATTTTAATGTACAATTTAGTGAGTGGTTTCCCCATGAGAATACTAGTAAAACTGTAACAGAAGTGAATAAGCAAAACATGTAACTCTTCCAAGAATATGTGGTGTGAGTTAACTTAAAACCTACTGAAATGGTGATATGCTTTAATCAAGAGACTGCGAGTCAGCCCTGACCGGTTTGGCTCAGTGGATAGAGCATCGGCCTGCGGACTGAAAGGTCCCAGGTTCGATTCCGGCCAAGGGCATGTACCTTGCTTGTGGGCACATCCCCAGTAGGAGGTGTGCAAGATGCAGCTGATCGATGTTTCTCTCTCATCGATGTTTCTAACTCTCTATCCCTCTCTCTTCCTCTCTAAAAAATCAATAAAATATATTTTTTTAAAAAAGAGAGACTGCGAGTCAGTCCGAGCCCTTGCTGCATCTGGTGAAGCACACAGGCTGTGGAGTCAGGCTGCCCTAGAGTTGCACCCTTTAAGCAATTTCCTTATATAAGCCTCAGTTTCCGAATTTATAAAAAATGAGGATAACACTTAACACATAAGATTGATGGAAGATTTGAAAGCACTCAGGACAGCACCTGGCCTTCAATAAAGGACAAACATTAAGGACAAACATCGCTGCTGTTACTATTATTCTTTAAAACATTCCCTGGTGATCCCAGTTGAATTAACTGCTTCCTAACCAGTGTTTCTAAAGGAAATCCATATGCTCTATGAAAAAGATGGCACACTGCCTAGAAGATGGTCACTGACAACCAGGAAGAGCTGTCTGTTTATCTTTCCAGCAGACTGAGGTCAAAATGTATTATTTATCTCATTACGCCCAGTGGCCAGCACGATGTCTGAATACTGAATGCATGCTGAAGAAACACAAAGCAACGTCCAAAGGCTTTCTGTAAAGCCTTCTAAGAATCGGTTGATGGTCAAGCTAACAACAAATGACTTATTTTCTGATTTCTTGAACCTATGTACCAAATAACAAATAGCTTTGTCACTTTTTCCTGATTATGCAAGTAATTTAATTCCTACTTAACAAACACTGCTGGATGCCTACACAACTGATTTCTCTTTGCCTTGATGACAGGAACTTTATTCCAGAGGATGAGATGCCAGGTCCCGGTCTTCCTTGCCACGCAGCCCATAGCTGAGCAAATTATGGGGCCTCTGGGGAAGTCTGCGGCAAGAGCTATGAAAAGCTTTTCTTCCCTAATACCATTCTCAACTCCCATTTATTGGAAATGTCTTTACCTTTATTTTTGTGAGAAAACAGAATTCTAGATTAACAGGCTTATTTTTTTATTTTATTTTATTTTTTGCTGGTTTTTCTTAATGATGCTAACCCATTGCTTCCAGTTCACATTGCTCCTGAGAAGTCAGGCATCATTCCTACTTTTTAAAATATATTTTTATTGATTTCAAAGAAGAAGGGAGAGGGAGAGAGAGGTAGAAACATCAATGATGAGAGAGAATCATTGATTGGATGCCTCCTGCACATCCCCCACTGGGGATGGAGCCCGCAACCTGGGCATGTGCCCTGACCAGGAATCAAACCATGACCTCCTGGTTCATAGGTCAATGCTCAACCATTGAGCAACACAGGCCGGGCAGCATCAGTCCTATTAATTCCTTAATGTTCCCTCTTCATCTCTCCCTTCCCATCACTCTACTTTCAAGGTTCCTCTTTATATCATTAATTTTCATCAGTCTGAGTACTATGTGCTTAAATGTGGTTTCCTTTTATTTTTTCCAAGATTAGAGGTTTCTTGAATTTTTAGGTTGATGTTTTTCACCAATTTCAGAAAGCTTTCACCATCATTTTTTCAAAAACTTTTTCTGCCACATTTCTCTGTCTCCTTCTCTCAGAACTCCAATTACATATATGTTAGATAGCGTAATACTGTCCAGTTACTGAGGCTCTGCTCATTCTCCCCATGCATTTTCTTTCTTTTTTCCAAATTATTTACATTAATCTGATTTCTAGCTCACTGACCAGTTCTTCTGCCAAATGTAGTCTGATTTTAAATCTGATTTCACTTCAGATACTATG